ATCAAACACTACCGAAAACTCACAATATTCTTTGAATGGATATGTTGAAGTGCGCATATAATCTCCGCAGAATAAAACCGAACGGCCGTCTGAAGGTCCTCCCTAATATCAAAATTAGAATTTTCGCAGCTCCTTCTGCTTTCTCGTCAACAGAAATATCACAAACACTGTACTCACTCATTCATGTCATGCAGGTAGTCGGATAATTCTCCACCATGAACAAATTCCAGCACGAGGCTGAGATTGACCCGATCCATTTCTGTACAAATTCTGTAAAGCCTAATCTTTAAAAAGTCACTGACGGTCAACGTTTTCACTAATAAGGCTGTGAGAAAGAGTTTGTTCAAGAAAAGCACTCTGGGGACTATTTGTCCCACGGGTGCCGGTTAAGATATCCACTTTGCGGTTTCTTTAGTTACCGTTTACCGCTGTTATTGCTCTTGGCAGGTGTGGAGGTAGATAGGGAGAATCTACAATATTTATGTTGCAGCGACACTCACAAACTACTGGTGTTTCCTAGCTAGCTGACCCGACAAACTATGGCACTTCCGCGCTCGATCAGTAAGGTCTTAGTGAGATACTAACTCCATGAAACCAATCTAACGTACTCCCTTCCCAAGGTCGCTGCAGATCGAGATCTTCCCCTGCATCCACCCCAGCCCTCTCCTATGGATCACCCAATTTGGGTGCGGCCATTTTGCATGTGCAAGAGCAGCTCTAATTACTTGTTCAGTATCGAGAGTGCGCATAAACAAAATGAGAATTCTAAAAGTGACTTTGAAGTGTTTAATTAACCCAAAAGTTGCCTCGAAAGTCTAGGAACTTTCCAACAGTGCATGGCACCTCTTCATATTGAAGTAATTGAAGCAGTTATGCTCCATGCACGCCCCCCCCCGAAGTTCGAACTCGGATTGCCTCGCGTTCCGTGGTTCGAACTTCGATAGGCGCTTACTAAAAACACCAGTTTCGCCTAGACCAACCAAGCCTTCTACCTTCCGAAGGTAAGTTGCGTACCAGTACCGCTTAGGAGACACCATCTCACACTGCCCGCCACGCCAATCATAGCATAGGTCATGTCGCATCCAAAGTACTACTACAATTCTGGCTGGAAGTGGAATGCGTGCCTCATCTCAAAAAGGATCAGTGAACAACGAAAGCTTAATATTTTTATCCTTTTGCACTATTGAATGCTTTCAGTTGTGAGAGAAGGCAGTGTTATGAATGGGTATATCAACACGACTATTATTGATAAAAAACGCAATGAAACACGAAAAATTTCTGCGGTTGTTTTTTAAAGCTCTCAACTCAGTATAAACATAGCATTTTTGTTTGTGGGCAAAAAAAAGGGCGTTGCATCTAGGCCGGCGAGTCGAACCTCTCGCCACCTCACGCCTTCCCAGGCGACGTGCGCATCATAAGCAACCTTCGGAACGCGAACACGGGCGTAAAACAGCAGTTATCAAAACAAAAACAACCTCAAAAATCTGGTCTATTACGATGCAACTGCTCTTGACCATATGACAACAATTTTTTTCACTGTCGCCGACCTGGTGCACTAAGTCCGCATTCTTGGTTGTGTTTTCAACGGTGGCCTCTTTGATGGGGATAAATGGTGAGCTTTCTCGCCAGAATGTTGGAACTTTGACAGAGAGGGCGTTCGCCTGCTAATATAAAGGCTGCATTCTCTCTCAGCGCAAGAAGCATTCGGCTTCTGCCTCTAGCTTGTCGCTAATTTCTTGCCAAATTAATTTTTGCGTCACATTTGCTAATGAACGTTACCATTAAAACCTGCATCTTGTCGCATGACCGTCGACGAAATACGAGGGTTTTAACATCATGTTCGTTTTTGACTGTTGTAACAGCATCAGGGCATCGGTTAACCGAATGACAAGCCTCAGCAAAAGTAAAAAAGCAGAACAAGTCGCGAATCTAAGCGAAAAAATCGATGTTTCTAAAAGCTTCAACAAAATCGGCTCACAATTCTACGACGAACGGACATGAGGACATGAAAAGAAGCTGCTTCTCCCGTTTCACGTATTCGGTACGATTTCGCTGTACCACCTGCAAAAGAAGCTTTTGACTAGGACTGCCAGCCAAAAAGTTTGCATCTGAATTCCACTGGTTCCTTCAGATTATGAGCAAGGGGCAATGCTATAAGGTATACCGCTCGGCACTAGTCAATGTCTCTCTGGAATGAGCCACCTAGTCCACCTCATCTGATCGCAAATTTTACTCAAATCGACCAATTTCCATCTATTATGGTCCTCACCTCATGTATGTTGAACTTTTTCACAGCGTAATATTCCTGTCTGGCTTCACTCCAGGCGAGATCAACCCTCCCAAAAGTTCCATAACCTGTGAGAGCTCATTAAATTCGAGAGAAACTCGCAAAGAAGGCGCAAGCGCTCACCCAATGTGGCCACATCTCGAAGCTGCAGCTCTTGACAAAGGACCATTAATGTGGATGCCAGTCCAGAGCACGGAACCTTTAAAATATCATGAAAATACACGAAAAAATGTGCATGGAAGCGTAGTTTGAAAGTGTAATGAGACATGTGCCTCGGCAAATAGTCGAGATCGCTAGAGCGGCGAGAGTGCCGAACGATCGGGAGCCTGTGTATTCTCATGCAAGAAAACCAACTATTGATTGGATACTTGAAGAAGTAGCTTCATCTGGGTTACGAGCAGAGCGTTAGTATGATGAATGTGATTACTAGAAGAGAAAAAAGGTAGCTGGTTTTCAGTAGGAAAGACAATGTGCTAGGTGTGCTTGATGGCCAGTGTACAGCATCGTGATGTATAATTCGGTGGTGTCACTACGACCTCCCCCCTAAAAGAGCGTCTCGGTATTCCTCCCCCCATCCCCAGCACCTACCTGCCACTTTCCACATGTTCCCAGCTTCCTACCAATTCTCTACTCAATTTCCCGAAAATTTCCTACATTTTCCCCAAAATTTTTCGCAGAGCACATCATTGGTTGGAGATTTTAGTGGATCACTCCCCCTTTTGGCGCCTGTTGCGGGGTTGATCAAGACCTTCCGCCCTCCCTGCTCCCTCCTCGTCGAGATCGAGGCCGCCCTTTCGAGCCCCGAAGGCGGGGGGGCCGAGCCCGGGTCGGTATACTACTACGCCATCCGATAAAGGATAAATGTCTTCGCCGCCTTGCATCAATCCATTTTGGTGGGCGCATGCGGCACTCATTCTACTTCCATTCAGAATCGTAGTGGCTTTACTGAATGCGATGTGGCCTATACAATGACTTGCGGGGGCCAGCCGATGTACAAGTCAGTGTTATTACTTATCCCTCCAGACGAATCCAGTAGCCAATTTACCGTCCCCGTAGAGTAGAAGGCGTCGGTTCGGAAACCTGCGGAAAGTCAACACAGGATTTGAACCCTGCGGGATTGCGGCGAGTATGAGCGTGCCCACTTAATTACGTCCAACCCACCTCCTGCCCATACTACGCCGATGAAACGAGGAAATTACAAAAAGTCAACCCCGCCTCCTACCGACGCCCAAAACGTAAATACCCATCGCGCGCCCTGCCCAACAATGACCACAGTACAACCCCACCTTTACAACTGCCGTGAAGCGAGAAGAAAACAATTGGTCAAAAAGAAACCCTCTTCCCAGCCGCAGAATACGACCCCCCCTATCACTTGGGGATTCCAGAAAAAAACGATTGTGACCTGATTTTCGAGCAAAGGAAATATAGCAAATGTGAACGGGGAAAACCGGCGCAACAACAGTCAACAACATCAACGAACGCTGGTGAGCGCGTGGTCTGATGGCCACCTTTATTCAGGCTACTAGTGAATCGCGAGCGAATAAAGGCTCAGCGGAAGGCAGATTGCAAAATCGGGACAAATTATAAAGTTGAGAAATAGCTGCTCCTGTTTTCGGCTGATGGCTCCCCTCCCCTTACGTCAGCAATTTGGGTTGATCAGAATGTATTAGTTTCGCCCCATACTTTTTCAATTGGCCTCATAGATAATGGCCGTTCAAGTTCCTCAGAAAATTTGTTTGAAAAGGTGAAAAAAGTTCTCAATTTCTTTATGTCATTTCACAGACAACTTGCCTATCGACACAGCACGGCCCTAGTGTGCCATATTCCTATTTTTGTCTTGATTCCTGTCCATTTTGCTTCCATTCAAATTGGAACGTCCTATCCAACGCCATTGTGACTTTGCACGCCTCATTCTTGAACGCTGATCCAGCGCGTCAGATCGTGTAGAAGCTTTTCAGGAAGCTGTTACGAATAGAACGATGCTTCTAGGATGGCTTGTGTTGGTTTCAAGTGCGAATAAGCAAACGGGTTGATGCGACCTTGTAAAGCGTGCCACTCGCAGGCGTGCCTTATCGTCGTTGCCCACTACCTGCAGAATCCAGAATCTAGAAGAATGAGCATACTAACTCAAGTCAAGGAATTTTTTTCTGTCAAACCGCTTAGAAGCCAATGGTCAAATCCCTCATCTTTGGCGAGAAATTTCGATTTATAAAAAAGCCATTACTTCTGAGCCAACCAGGTATTTAGGGGAGGGGAGCGAGCAAGCAAGAATGCACCCCACTCAGGAGAGAACCCCTAAAATTTTTCGATTTTTGGAAGACAATCAGCACTTTCGATGATACAATCGCTGATCTCCATTCTTGTGCCTTCAGAACCTCGAACCGACAAGCATGAGTTCCAAAAGCGATTGACGGTCATCTGCGCCCGTGAATCATAGCAATGTCGTACGAAAGACCTTACGGTTGACGTTTTCCAACAGCAAAACGGCATTCACTCACCCAACCCTGGAAACTTCACAGCTGCTTCAGACTGGCGCGTATACTGCGAGCTCTTTCAAAGGCAGTGGAACGATGATTTGGTGCTCGGCCTAAAATGCTAGTAGGGCGCTATATAGTGGGGAAATGGCGAAAGAACGGAGTGAAACGGTCAAAATCCTGCGAAGAAAGAGCCTCCGTTCTCAATGTGTTAGAAATCAATTTTGGACGAGTTTCCTGTAGGCATCTTGCCAATAACCGCTACCGAAGGTACGGCTGCATATGTGTACTCATATATCCATGCAGCATCACGGCCGCTTCATACCAATCCCTTCGCTTCATAATTTGCTTAGCAAATGAATCGATTAGAGCGTCAGGAACGGTCGTCCATTTGTGGGCGGGCGGGCGTTTGGGTCGGTATGTTGTGGCTTGATAGGGCCCTTATAAGGGCACCTTCCTTGGAAAAGGCATTATGCAGCGCCTGCTCAGGGTCGCGGAATTCCGTCCTGCCAGGCGTATTAATCCTACTCGTCTTGGGGGATTTATCGTGCCAACTGCCTTTATGTCGATGCAGTGACGAAGAAAGCCGACCTGGGATTTGACCGGGCCTGTGAAAACACCACCACTTTCACCTGCTACTTCCAAACGTTAAACTTCTGGCATTACGAAGGGAACTTCACGGCCAAAAGTACAATAGAATAAAACTACATGAAAGCGTTTTGTGAAATTGCACTCTTTTTCTTTGAAATTTATCTCCGCTGGCAGGCGATAGTTATCATTAAATAGTCAGACGTGTTTATCACTGTGCACTTGCCGGTCTCTTTTTGCACTGGTGGTGCCGTATCGACGCAATAATTCGTTCCCGTTTTCTTCCAAAAAGTAAACACACTTTCTGAGTTATGATCGCACTCATCATA